TTACCGGTTGTCCCTGTCATGACTATATAATATAATTATATTATGTACTTTTTAAAATCCCTTGTCAGCTGAAAAACGAAACTATTAGTTTCTATTAGAGATTCTTTCCCAAAATTGTACGATTGGTACATTTTAAACTTTTAAATTGTTTTTGACAAATAAGCGAAGAGTGGTTTCTGTTTCCATGAATCCGGAAGGTGTCTTAGAGACAAAAGTGTATAGTATTTGTATTTTAATGGAATTTTTCTATTGACAGAATGTTTTCAGGTGAGCTTTCCATTTTTATTAGGAAGCATTTCCTGAAGCTATGGTTCATATCATATATATAATTATTATATAATGCCAAACTGAAGCGTTCCAAAATAATATCATTTATCAGAAAAAATGCACAAGTGTGCTCATTGGCCACCATACATGCTTTTGAATAATTTTACCTTACTGATTGAAGAGTTTCAAAATAGCCAAAATGGCGGCTTTGTTGTTATAGGGTTATCAGTTTTTGGAAATTTTTGTTAGTTTTGTAGTGTTTAAGGATTAAATTTGGTAAAATATCATTGCTTTTGACGATGTCGGAAGTGAATAGTGAAATGTCAAGCCTCAGTTCGAGGATTGCATCCTTCAATTTGTTGATAAAGCGTGACCAAGTTCGGCGTGACCATGTTGACAACTGTCAAAATCGTGAAGTTTCACGTGTGGATTTGAAATCAGCATCGTTTCTGAGTGTTGCTAGAGCTGGATTTTATTATTCAGATAAAAAAGAAGTGAAGTGTTTCTGTTGTGGTGTTGAATATTATGCCTGGGGTAAGGTATCTCCAGTGGCAGTCCACAGAATACTGAAAATGAACTGTCCTTTTCTTGATCCAAATAATCAGGATATTTCAGCTGAAAAACTGTTTCAAGAACCACCGACTCCATCATCAACAGATGAAGGGACATCAAATCATTTTTGCAGTCCATCTCAACAACCATCTGATGATGAATCCACACCAAAAAATAGGCCTAGTTCACAAACTCTACCGAAAACACCAACCAGTTCAGCCAATGTCAACTCGAATACCAGTACTATCTTATTTAGACCTAACGAAACACCACCAACTCACACAACAGCACATGTTCTTGATAACGCAGAAGCCCAAAATGTCAGACGCAATTTATTTTTTGGAGCAGAGGATGCTGAAACGGCAGAAAGAGTAGATAACTTTGAAAATAGAAATACCGGTACGTAACCAAAACCTTCAAATTGTGCCAAGAAGTTGCATGGACCACAGTGCTGAGTTCACAGGGAAAATCATCCATCCTAAAATTGGGGAGAAGAAATCTATGGTACGAGAATCTCTAAGACTGTTGACTTTTCCTGATCCAACTGATGAAAAATCAGAGGAATGGGCAAGAAATGGATTTAGACATCTAGCAGATGAGGAAGATCATGTTAAATGTGTCTATTGTGGAGGTCAGGCCTCATTTCATGAAAATAATATCAGGAATATTCATCAAAGAATCTCACCTAAGGGACGATACCGGTGTCCTCTGATCAGTGGAATTGATGTTGGGGATGTAACTCGTGAATTAGAAGAACTGGTCCATAAGAAACTGTGTCAGAGCAATAGTGAAGTGTCACATGACCAGCGTAATTTATATCCAATGTATCATCCTCAATTTATAACTGTAAACATACGTTTGAAATCATTTAAATACTGGCCTAAACACTTTCAACACACTAAAACGCATCTGGCTGATTCAGGATTTTTTTATACAGGTAATAATAATTGGATATTTCTTTTGATAGGCCTAAACTTAAAGAATATATAAGCGATTCCAATTTAGGGTGTTCATTTGAGTCATGGATATCTATTCCCAAACGATCTTAAGGCTTAACTCTTGACACTGTTTCTAGGATATACTAGGGTCTTAACTTTTAACACTGTTTCTAGGACATCTTAGGACCTTAACTTTTAACACTGTTTGTAGGATATCCTAGGGTCTTAATCTCAAACACTGTTTCTAGGATATCCTAGGTCTTAACTTCTAAATAGTAATTATCTTCAGTAAGCTTACTATAAGTGTACGAAAATCTATAATTCCTTCAAAAATATCTGAAGCTTGGAATTTCTTTTCCTTTTTCTATATGTCTTTTCTATATATGGCAGTGTCTCATAAAACTGGACACACATGGATTTGAAGGCTAGAATTTTGACAATGAGCTGTGAACGCTATTACTGATTGGCTTAGCTAATTCCTGTTTCTGAGACTAAACTATGATTGGTAAAAAAATGGCGTACTCATCCATTTAAAACTTTATGTTTCTGTCCTTTCTTTTTTTATGGGTAGAAACTCAAAGAACACAGAAATATTGAATTTAAAGAGGCACATGAATTGTATTGAGGCTAAATGCCAGCAACTTTTTTTTTTCAGGATTAGGTGATAAAGTTATCTGTTTTTGTTGTGGTGTAGCCATATTTAACTGGGCACCATCAGCCAATTCATGGGAGCAACATGCTCTAGTGTCACCCCAGTGCCTCTTCATCCTTCATGAAAAAGGATCCGAATTCATCAGAGAAATGGCAGCTATTCAGGTATGAGTTGACAAAACTTTATCAATAGATTTTTCATGGGTAGATATTTCTGTGATCATCTTTTTATATATGGTCATAATCAGAGAGCTGACATGTATATATCTTTATTGCTCTATATCAAGAAAATCAAAGAAGTACGGTACACATGATATGTATCCAATAGTCATCTTGGATCATTGAAGATGAAAATGAATGACAAAGAATAGAAACAGTAAGCACTTTCCTTCAGAGTCTGTTTGCAAAACATTATAAGAAAGGAATATATAGCAAATGTACAAGGCCTTTTTTACTCAAAAGTGCAGATATATCTTTAAAATAGAAATGCACTTACATTGTTTATCTCCTGTTTAAAATAGCTATTCTTTTTTATGGAATCGATTCTTTTTTATGGAATCGCAGAATATTTGCAATAATATTTCTAATATTTGTTTTATTTTTTATTACAGAAACTAGTAGATTTGGATCAGACAGTTAAAGGTTAGTGTATACATTTACTACATCATAGTAAAGGGGTTGTAAAAGAGCATTCTATGTGTATTGGTGCATCATTCCAAGTTTCAGTCAGACATCTGTGGTTCCTTCCATTCCATTAAAATTGTTTGATAAAATCACTATTCGCGAATATCCTTTATCACATCATATCAACAAACATCATATCTAGTTAGGTTCTGACTGTAGATCTACTACAAACATCGTTTTAGTTAGATTCTGACTAGATTCACTACAAACATCATATTTAGTTAGGTTCTTACTATAGATTTACTACAAACATCACATTAAGTTAGGTTTTTTAGTATAAATTTACTACAAACATCATATTTAGTTAGGTTCTTACTATAAAGTTAATATAAACATCATATTTAGTTAGTTTCTTACTATAAAGTTAATATAAACATCATATTTAGTTAGTTTCTTACTATAGATTTACTATAAACATCATATTTAGTTAGTTTCTTACTATAGATTTACTACAAACATCATATTAAGTTACGTTCTTACTATTTGCTACAAACATCACAGTTAGTTAAGTTCTTATATTCTGACTATAGATTTACTTCAAACATCATATTGAGTAAGGTTCTTGCTATAGATTTACTATAAACATCATATTTAATTAGGTTCTTACTATAGATTTACTACAAACATCATATTACAGATATTACTCCATTTACAGAGCTTGCAGTCATTATGAGGATATTACACAATTTGGCAGCATGAGATGAACTCTTTTCTTTTAGATCTGTTGATATTACTGTTGATTTATATCAATGTTGTAATATATTAAGAAAAGGTTATCCTCCTGTATCTTAATTTAATTGATGTTAGTTATATACATGTATTATAAAAACAAAATTTTCACTGTTAAATAGTGCTTGTAGAGCGTTACAGAGATCACACGGTATAAAAGACTAAGTAACAACATATAAGTTTTCAAGAGGATGTCGCAAGGGAGACCCTATTTCTCCATATATTTTTATTCTTGTGGTAGAGATTTTGGCAATTTTGATAAAAAATAACAAAGATATAAAAGGTGTTATAATCCAAAATACAGAACATAAAATTTCCCCATTTACAGACGATAACACCCTTTTCTTGGATGGTTCTAAACAATCCTTCTTTCAGCTTTAAACTGCTTTGAATTTTTTGGAAAATTATCAGGTTTAAAAATCAATAGTTCCAAAATTAAAATAGTATGGATTGGCAGTAAGAAATATAGTAACCAGGTATATCATCATGATAGTTGGAAACTAGATAGGGGACATACCACTTTCAATCTTCTATGTCTTGATTTTTCCGTTAATCTGAATGATATGATAGATTTTAATTTTAATAATCAATTAATGAAAATAAAAAAAACTCTTTCCCAATGGAAAAGAAGACATTTAACCCCTATTGGAAAAGTAACCGTTCTAAAATCTATTATTATACCAAAATTAACACATTTATTTATCTCCCTTCCCAATCTATCTCACAACTTCATATTAAATGCTTATATTGGTACAGATAGTTTGCATTTATAATCTAGCTGATTTTGGGGATGACTTTATCAATAAAATTAAAACTGAGTGCAAAATTAATTTTTGGAAAGACGTATTAAATTCATACCAAATACTAATAGAGAAACTTGATATTTCAAATGTTATTTTAAAAACACCTTTATGGTACAATAGCTCATTGAAAATTAACAGTTCTCACATTATTTTATCAATCTTGGCATAAAAATGGGGTGACTTTTGTCGGGATCTATTAAATAATCAATGTGAATTCTTGTCAAAACAAGAAGTAGAATATAAATTTAATTTGAAAATAAAATCATTTTTGAAATATCAAGGTCTGATAAATTGTATCTTAAAACAAAAAATATCCAAAATACAATAAGCACATCACCATTAATACGTCTTTTTATTTGAACAAATTTTGAAAAACACCTCTGGAAGTAAAGATATGTATAATCTATTAACAAAATCAGAAGTACATACAACTTCAATGACTAATTGGAGCAAAATTTTGAGTAATCATGATATTGACTTGAAATTTACTTTTGGTAATCACTTCAATTTAATTCCAGATTATGATTTACAATGGTTTCAGTTCAGATTATTACATATTATGATTCTACCCACAACATCGTATCTAAAATTAATCAAAATTTCTGAAACAAACACTTGCAACTTTTGTAAAATACATGTAGAAAATTATTTACATCTTTTTTTTTCTTGTTCATATGTTTCCTCACTGTGGAAGGATTTATCAAACCTTCTTGAAAAGAATAACATCTTTTTTGAATTTACAACCACTAATATTTTATTTGCGATAAATAATAATGCCCATCAAATTCCTCTAAATATCTGATTTTACTATTTAAATATTTTATCTGTAAATGTGCAAAAAATGACAATGTACCCTACTTTAAGCATCTTAATACCTATGTACATACTATAGTTTACTATTACAGACAGGGTTTAAATTAAGTCAAACTATGCATGCAATTGAATTTATTAACATGTGCGGAACCCTAAAAGTATAATCTATAAATAGTATGAGCCTACATATATTTTATATATCTGTATTTGTTACCTGCTGTTGTTTGAAATATTATTTATTTATTATTACAATGAATTATTATAATTATTATAATTGTATAATTTTATTAATGACTATTGTGGTTGTAAAACAATTAGTCAAGGCCCCATCCTTGATATTGTGTAATAGTATTAATGAGAGAATTAAATTTAAATTAAAAAAAAACAACATATTTCTGGTTCAGTTTTCATGTTTCTAATGTCAAATATTATATTTCAGAGCCAGTAAGAAAGATTGGTAACTTAGTGGTACCTGATCCCTACCCTCCAACTTTAACGCGAGATTTACTGACAGCCTATACATCATGTGGGTATTCAACACAACTGTTATTTCGTCTTGTTGAAAAATTCTTTTATCAAACTTGTGAGTACCTATAACTCACTTTACTTAGCACTGCAGAACATTAGCCCTTTCAACACTAGTAGTCTAATGGCCTCATAATTACACAATATTTAACTGAGCGTCAGAAAAAGCGGCTGTTACCAAGTGAGGCCACACAACGTCAACATCATACTCCTTATGTTATCTTATTTTTTTATTTCATTACCACACAGTGTTCAGTGACTAGCTTTAATGATAGAATGAGGAACTGTTGATTCTCTTTAGATGAACTTCCACTATGTTTTCAATCTATGAGTTCATTTCATGAGATAATGAACGGCAAATTACTTATATTTTCAATAGCAAAACAGCTAAAAATTTCTTTGGTAAACCTTGTCTTGTAATAACTTAGGTTTGACAAGTATAGATCTTCAAACAACAGATATATATAAGCCTTTGATTATATCTATAGAAGCTTGAAGTAGAGATCTTTAGTTCATCTATTTCATACTATGTTCCTACTAAGTTTGACAAATAGAGATCTCCAAACAAGATATTTCAGGTTGTGTCCTTACTGAAGTTTAACAAATATCAATTGTTCTTGTATTTATATTATTAAGCAATTGATGTATTGAGCACTATTTTAATGTAATATTTCATATATTTCAGGTGGTCAATATCCTGATGTTCCAATGTTAGAGGCTGCAGTTCTGGCAGACGGACAGTTGAAGAAACAGGTTGATATTAATGATCATCATATTGATATTATTGACAAGAAAGATAAACAGTTAGGTCAGATAGAAAAAGTCTTGACTACTAGCAATCTACAGTTCAAGTCTACTGTATGTGAGATTAACCAGAGACATTGTCTACAGTTAAATGATAAAGATATGGAAATACTGGAGAAAGAACAACAATGTGAACAAATAGTACAGCAGAAAGATCAACAACTCCATCAACAAGGGCATCAACTCCATCAGAAGGAGGAGCAACTCCATCAACAAGGGCAGCAACTCCATCAACAAGGGCAGCAACTCCATCAACAAGGACAGCAACTCCATCAACAAGGGCAGCAACTCCATCAACAAGGGCAGCAACTCCATCAGAAAGAGGAGCAACTCCATCAGAAAGAGGAGCAACTCCATCTCAAAGATCATCAGCACAAACAGGAACTTAATCATAAAGCCCAGCAATTGTGTAAGCAAAATCGTCAAAATCTTCTTCTGTATTGCACTAAACAACAACTACGTAATCAGTTACATGAAAAACACAGTGAACTGGAAGAGCGTGACTCGATCATCAATCAACAGCATGACTTAAATTTAAGACTACAAAATGAGGTTTTGCAACACCAACAAAGGGAAGCTACTCTAATTGAAGAAAGAAATGAATATCTGATTCTGTCACATGAAATTGAACGACAGAAACGAGAAGTAGAGGATGATATTAAACGATATGAAAAAGAGTTGTCTGTCTTGTTAAATGAATACTCAAGATTGAAGAAAAAAGGTAAGCTAACTATTTTTATATCAAATTGCACCAGATATGAATAACATGAACACCAACGTCACCAACACACATTCTGTCATTAAAAAGTCCTT